CCACTCTTTCCAGAAGCATTTATATTCAACCCCTTTAGCTGAGTTTTTGTTGTTGTTTCCTCTTTTAGTGTTTATGTCCATATTTCTTTTTTGTTTGTTTTTTGTTTTTTTTTTTTAAGATTTTATTTATTTATTTGAGAGAGACAGAATGAGAGAGAGAGAACACCTGAGAGGGGATAGGGTCAGAGGACGAAGCAGACTCCCTGCCGAGCAGGAAGCCCGATGCGGGACTCGATCCAGGGACTCCAGGATCATGACCTGAGCCGAAGGCAGTCGCTTAACCAACTGAGCCACCCAGGCGCCCTGTCCGTATTTCTAAGTAACATGCTTATGATGTTTCAATTTTCTTTTCCTGAGCATTACCTATTTAACTCCCCAAATGAAGGATGAAAATTTTGTTATTTTCACATCTCTGCTGTCAGGACACTTGCAGTCTCCCAGCCCTCTGCGGTCTAACTGCTCCTTGATCCAGCTCTCTCAGACAGTTCTCTCTTTTATCCCTACCTTCACCCCAACTTGCAGAGGCACCTGGTGCCACCAGGTTCTTCACGGGTGAGGGGCAGCCTGCAGCATGGATGAGAATGCACGCCAGTGCCCCACCACCGGCCTCAGACTCAGCCCTCCTGCACCACCTAAGTCAATTATCTCTTGTTCAGGTAGTTTTCAGTTTCCAAAATGTTCCTCCCATTTTGCCCTTATGGGCTTCTGCCTTAAAAAAAAAGCAAAAATCAACAAACCCTTACTGTCATTTTAATGAGGTTCAGAAGGGAGGGGAAATTAAAAGCATGTGTTAATTCACTATCTTTAACAAGAAGTATACCATTGATTTCTTTTTCCTTTCTAAAGAGCAAATTATTTTCCATTTAAATTCACCAGATAAAAACATCCAACGCACTGAAGCAAAGCAGTTTGGGTTTCCTTCTACATCATCTTCCCATCCTGTGACCAAAGAGGAAATTAAAATTCAAAGACAGGCTGCCATTTGGGCCAGTGAAAGAGAGATAGAGATCGATGTTACACGGTGGAAAAGACTTCTCCCCAGAAAGAATCTGGCTACCCTTTTATCATCACCTTTAGTAAACTTCTTAAAGAAGAACTCTGAGGAAGCTTCCCCCTCTGCAGATTCCCGTCCAGCTGCCCTGCATGTGCCCCTCAGCAATCTCCTCCTTTGCTGTGTCTTGGAAGAACAAGCACGCATTGGGTTTAGGAGAGAGAAAGAGCGGGAGTGTGTTCGTCTGTGCTCCTGGATCTGTGCACGCTCATGCTTGTTAGCCACACCGTTTCTTACGGACCCCTCTCTCTCACTCACACGTCAGCCCAGACCCACTTGCCCCACATCCTCCGTTCTACCCAACCCTCTGCTGGCGCCAGGCCACTGGACTCTGCCCCTGTCCGGAGGCCTCCCTTCCACTCCCTCACTCCCGAAGCTGGTGCCCTCCTATGGCACTATGTCCACATCCACCGGCCCAATGGAAAACGGTCCTCTCCTCCTCAGAATTTCTCTCCATGTCACAGCGTTCTGGAGTGTCTGGGAAGAAGAGGGGCCCATCCCCCTTTCTAAGGTCAAGTGTTTCACCACTGTCCTGGATTTCTGCCCTCCTCATTTCTTCCCACCTTACTCCCGGTCTCATCTTTTAATGTTTCCTCTTCACGTCTTCAGTGGATCTTTCCCATTTTGAGGGACATGGCTTGCTTATAAAGATGTCCCTTTGGCCCTCCAGTCCTCTGTGCTGCAATATTCTCCTCTTAAAAGAGTAGGCTCCGCAGGCTGCCTGAAATGCCCATCTCCTGGTTGATCTCACTGTCCCCCCCCCCCCCAGGGTCCCTTTGGGCCATGTGCCTGCCTGCCGGGGCCTGCAGAATCCCAGCCCACTTTGGCTGGGGGCGGTCTTCACTTCCCAGCATTCTTCTCCTGCCTTACCCCCTCTTCCCAAGAACACCATCAGCAAAACCCATTTCTATCTCAAAAAAAAAAAAAAAAAAAAAAAAAGAACCACATAGCCTGGAGTCGGAACCTGTCCAAACTGGGCACGCTTTTGAACATGCGGCTGGAGGTGGCAGCGTGACTCTGTATTTCACACAGCTGTTTGGATGAAGGTTTATCTACAAGAATATAAATTTGTGTTTGGAAGTTTGAACTGCTTCTAAAAGAATCCTTGCTTACAGCACTTTGGTAGCTTCATTTTGTCATTGCCAGATTAAAGTTCTGTAAGCAGAATAGCAATTATTTATCAGAAGTAAAATCTCATGCAAATGTTTTTGAGCCCAATACAAATTAGCAATTCTTCATATGACTAATGACTATATGCGCTTCCGATAACTGTAAACATGAGAAACAAAAGATCAAGGACTCTAAAATAAGCACTTGGGATAACAGAAGGGCTGTGTAGGCGGTCAGCAGCAACTGTGAAACCAAAAGATAATCGTTATGTGCTTCTCAAGATCTTCAAACCCAGAGGAATGTGAACCACCATTATGCCGTGGTTCTTATTTGCCCTCCAAGCAAAGTTCTTAATAGCAAGACTCTTCAGCTTTTTAAATACAAGCAAATATATCCCTCACTGAAATTAAATAGAACAACAACAGAAAGCTGCATTATGCTAGAAATAGTCAAATTTCATAAACCAATGAAGTTGCAAAGAACTGACAATAACTCAAATTGTTAATAAATAGTTCTTTTTGCCCGATAAATACAGCTTCAGATTCTAACAGTCCACAATTCTCATGACAATACATGCATTGAGTAGAACTGAATCCTTAATACAAGTCAAATCACATTTAGTCAGTTAGTATTCAAGTGACTACTCTGTGCAGAATGTTAGGACAGGTGCTGTGGGTAAAATACAGAGTAACTCAATATGCAAACCTGTAGCATAGCAGGTTACCAGCCTGTTCAAAGGATGCAGAATACCTTAATAAAACTTTTACACAGTAACTGAAGCTCTGTGAGCTGAACCAAACACATTCTGCAGGGCTGAGTAGAATGGTTAGGTAACATAACTCCTGCAATTATAAAAGTTCTCCTGGAAGACTGTTGAGAGGAAAGGAAGAAATGTACAGATTGGCAGAGAGGAGGGGGAGAGAAGTCTTACCAGACGAGAGGCTTGTGAAAATCTGACAAAGGAGAAACACACCAGAAAGGGGTAAGGCAGCCCAAAGGCCAGGCTGGATGCCCACCGTCACTTCCCTTCCTCCTCACTGCTCCCAAAAGCCTCCCAGTTGGGTTCTGCCCATGAAAATTCTCTGCACACAGCTATTGCAATCATCACCTTAAAGCTCATCTTCTCTCCTATTCTGCTCAAAAATCAATGGCTCCCCACTGCCCCACAAACCAAATTCAGACTCCTGAGTAACACAGCATAAGTACTCAATACATTTGAGTATGTGTGACTACTTTCATATCTCTTGGTTGATTGAAAGGTTCTAGAAGGCAAACACCAATCTTGATTATTTTTTAATATTTTGGTATGTGATAGCACTTACAAGTATCTTTGGTATGGTAGAAATTCAAAACATATTTATTAAATGAATGAACAGATGATTTAACTAACAAATTTTATATAGTATTGACAAAATGGTCTGGCCATTTGGTAGATAACCTTACAAGGGAAGTTAGAAGTTTAAATTTGATACAACAGACTCTAGTCAGCTACTGGATGATTTTGTTTACAACAGTGACAGGATAAAAATGGTGTTTGAAGTATCTCATTTTAGTTGCGGTTGTAGAGAGTATTAGCCCAGAAAGGACTAGAAGTAGAAAGATCACTTTGCTAATAATATTTTGCTAACAAGATGAATAAAACAAGGGCGCCTGGGTGGCTCAGATGGTTAAGCGTCTGCCTTCGGCTCAGGTCGTGATCTCAGGGTCCTGGGATCAAGTCCCACATCAGGCTCCCTGCTCCTTGGGAGCCTGCTTCTCCCTCTGCCTCTCTCTCTCTGTCTCTAATGAATAAATAAATAAAATCTTTAAAAAAAAAAAGATGAATAAAACAAGATGAGGATTTTCGTCTGTTGATTAGTCACTAATGTGAATATTCCTTCAATAAACACCAAAAAAGAAAATTGTCACATGTATCTTTGTCTTTGATCTATTTTTAACGAGTTCATTTCTGAGATAAGAGATGATTTTTTTTTTCAAGCTAAGTGGTACTTCTAGATTTTAAAGAATAGCAACCAGGGGCGCCTGGCTGGCTCAGTTGGAAGAATACGTGACTCTGGATCTCAGGGTGTGAGTTGGAGCCCCACACTTTGCGTAGAGATTACAAAAAACAAATAAACTTAAAAAAAAGAATAGCAACCAGAAATCCTAGAAATTAAGGACAGATATTGTTATTTATGCACTACAAATATTCTTCATATTAGTATCTTCCAAAATGATACTCTAACAAAATACGAAAATGGAGAGAATTCCATTTTGTCTATTCTTAGTACAATGCAGATCACTTGATTTTTTGGTTTTATCTCAGCTAAAATCAGTAAGATGGTAGCATTTTATAATCTGGTATAACATTTTGATAATTAAATGGATGAATCCATCAGCATTTGAACATGTCAGTGCATTAAAAAGTGTCAAGAGGTTGTAACCGGTGCCCACTCTCCTTTCTAAGAACTTATTCTCTCTCTGCTCAAGCCTCACTCAGCCTTCCCACCGTCTGCTGGAAGGTCATGGTGGGGGGACCGGAGCGGGGTCAGCAGCACAGGGCACGCTGAGGAGGAGGAGGTCAGCCTGCAGCTCTCCATCTTGGCTGCTCATTAGAAACACCTGGGAGCTTTTAACAGCTATGAATTTTTCAACCAGGATATTTTAAAAGCTTCCCCCAGGTGAGTTTGTTATCCAGGCTCGAGAAGCAGTGAATTAGTATTTTCTTTAGCCATGGAAAAATAATTCTTACATATGATTTCCTGGATATAGTGCCCAAAAGATTATAAAACAGTTTAAGGGTCTAAATATATGATGCTGCTAATTTTATTTTGAAGAGAAGAAACAAACTTTTACTTACCTGCCTTCTGACAATGTACAATCTTCTCATACACAGCATCTGCATTTTCAATCACGGCCTTGAGGGACTGGATCATCTGGAAAGGGAACACCCAGACATGGGGTTACACCTGACAACCAAACATCGGTCTACACACGTGCAGGGGGGCTCTCCTCTACAAACAGGCGGAGGTGCTGGGGCGAAACGCTCTTTCATCTGACTTCCCACGACTCAGTCCAAATGTGTGTGTACAAAATGAAAAATCCTGCCTTCCATGTAATGGTTCAAACAGACTGGGAGTATTGTGTTTCACAGTTAGGCTTGTACAACACTGAATTTGAAACTTGAGTCAATACTGAATGGAGTTTCAGTGTGAAAAGCTACAAATAAATATGTGTACACATCTGATCTGTGTTTTAAATTATATTTTCAGTCATTCATTTTAACCAAATCTTCAACTTCATCTCACAGAAAGCTCTACCACCTACACACCTTACTCATTTCAGCTAAAGTGCCTTCATCTGAAAATTAGTTTAAAACTTACCATGAGGATCAAAAAACAGCATTTATTTTATTTTTTTAAAGATTTATGTATTTTGAGAGAGAGAGAGCATGGGGCGGAGGGGCGGGGGTAGGGAGAGAGAGAGAGAGATTCTCAAGCAGACTCCCCACTGAGTGCAGAGCCCGAAGCAGGGCTCGATCTCACAACTTTGAGATCATGACCTGAGCCAGATGCTTAACTGACTGAGTCACCCAGGTGTCCCTTAAAAGTGTTTCTATTTAATGCATCACTAATGATATCAAACTAGTATTTTTAATGTTCCTATCAATGATTTTAAGAGATCTAATTTTGAAAAAATAAATAAATAAAAACAGAAGATCCAATTTTGAGTTCTTATCCCAAATTACTTGTGTTTATTTTTAGCAGCCAAGCTTGAATTAAAAAAAAAAAAGGATCAGGGCATAGCTGATCAATTATTTTACTTACCAAAATGTTAGGAAAAGATCTGTCTAAAGTAATCTTTTTGGCTCTAAAATCACTATGAAAATGGGATAGCCTGATTCAGCTCTCATAACTCAAATGGGTACAAATATGATGCTTGCCTTCATTATAGATTTCAACTTTTTGTATTTAAATGTCCAAATATTTTTCATTATAACATTACCCATCTATATTACATGACCATTTTATTTTAAATAATAAACACTAATCCATCACTCTCCATTTCTTTAAGTTCTGTCTTGTTTTTCTTTATAGTATTTACCACTAACTGCCACAGTCATTATTTTATAGAAACCAAGCATAAGTAGGTTGGATTATTTGTATAATTCAAAGAAGGAACACCCTATTTCGACTAGTTACACTTATTGAAACCCAAGCATAATCAACAGGCCTCTTAAGAAGTGCACCAGATTCTTCAAATGAGTCACACAGCATTTACCAGGTTGTCCACTGTTCGAAGAAAATTATAGTAAACCCCAAAAGGTTTAAGGCCCACACAGGTGCTCATTTATGCCTTCATTCATTATCCGTGGCCCAGAGCAGGAACTGGGGACACAGGGACAGACAGCATATAGCCCCTATCTTCAAGAAGCCCATATCCCATGGGAAGAGCTTAGAGCTTGCACTTTGGAATTCAGTATTTTCACATTCGTTCTTCAAGATCTGAGTCATGTCTGTAAATTAAAATATTCTATTTTACAGCTTGACATATTGAACAGGCAATGATAAAAATGAGTAGTTAAGAGCTCAATTACACTGATATCAAGTCATTCGTACCATGACATCATTTGCATCCCGAAAAGGTTCATACCGTCATCAGTAACCTTTTTCAGCTTTGATGTCAAGCCAAAATGAGAGATATGAAGAAGCATAAAGCTTAAAGAAGTCAAGGATGGTGGTTGTCACAACTCACTATCAAAGAACTAGCTAACTGTGCCTCCATCACTCAAATAGGAAAAAGGAGAAGAAAAAAAATACCAGCAATGGAATGAACCTGGTCATGAAGCAGATGGGCAGGACAGGAGCAGTAACAGAAGGAATGTAGGAGAACAAGACAGTAGCACTAAGCACAGGCTCACACATACAGATGACCTGTGGGGGAAAGGTGGTCAAAACACACTCTTACTGAGCGTGGTGTGGGGGCAGAAAGAGCTCAGATTTATATGGGCTCAAATCCTGGTTCTGCTGTTCATTAGCTTTGCCATCTAGGCCAGGATACTAAACACCACGGAGCCATCATCTCCTACCTATAAAATGAGTTAATAAAAGACGCCACCTATATAATGCTGTGAGGATTAAATGAAAGGAGGCACAATGAAGACACTTACAAACAGATGTGACAATGGATGCCCCCATTTAGCCAGCGGGCCTGGGGGAGCCTTTTCTGGTAACCTGAGATTAGCTGAATGAGTATGCCTTCCCTTCATATGTTCACTGGCAATGTTTCAAACATCTATTACTAATTTTAGTTTTACTTGAAAAGTCTGGTGTGGTGAAGCTCAGAGAAACAACAAATCACATTATTATTCTTAGAAGCATCTTCCAGTTTAAAGTATCACCAAAGGTTAAATAGTTAGGCACTTTTCGGCTGTAAAATACACCCGAGGTTTAAGGACAGCACATCCATTTCAAGGGTCTGGAGAGAGAGGCTCACCTGCCTCCGATGCTCTAATTGTACTTGAAGGATCAATCCTTTATTCTTGGGACAATCACTGACTGAGGTCCTCTAAGTGGGGGACCCCGAAGTAAGCGCTATGAATGAATAAAGAATAGTTGCTGACCGAGGACTATGAGCAAACAGTAATCACAACAAGATGTGGTGTGGCCATTGTAGCCCATGTGCTACTGGGTGTGACAAAGTTAAATACCCCTAAGCCACAGTAGGTAGATGGGATATTTAGTGGGGGTGTAAGTGGTGGTGTCATGGCATCCTGCTGATACTCTGTTTGTGGACTGGACTTAAATACACACTCCACCCTTATTTATGAGCAGTATATAAAATACGAATGTGGCTACTCCACCAGGGTGGAGAACGCAAACACAGCGAAAAGCCACTCCTCTCAGGTGTGGAAGTAAACTGAGGCAGCTATTCGCAGACCATCTTGGAGGGGTACTCTGGAAGCAAGCAGCCTCAGAGAAGGTCAGGCACAAGAAACAATCAGTAGAACTTAGAGAAGGCAGGAAGAAAACATACCCAGACCTTAGCAGAGATGATTCATCCTGCCACACCTGTTACGAAGTGTTTTCACCACTTCCTTGGAGAGGAGGAACTGCCAGTTTATATCTTTTTATAGTTTTAGGGTACATATTTACAGTCAGGGTGGGTCCTTACATTAATGTAGAGTAAACAGTTTATAGTTCTCGTCCATAGAGTGTGTTCATTAATCCTCAACTCCTGCAGTATTTGCATAAAGTGTCCTTGAGTGAAAGAATCCCGCTGGGTACTCCCCAGCAAGCTGTCTGGGCTGTGAGCCCCTGTCAGCGCACTCTAAGGGTCCAGCAGGCTGAGAGGGCAGGGCCAGGCGGTGGACCTTCCTGCCTGCCCACCCAGCTGGCTGAGGTCTTGCTTCACTCAGCTCCCAGCTATGACTGAATGTAGAGCACATGGCACGGAAGGAGGACACAGCAGGGACAACATGAGGGGGCCATTAGATCTAGTGGGGGCCCATCTCACCCTGGGTCTGCTGCTTTATAACAAGCTGTGATTATAAATAGTACAAGTGTTGGTTGAATGAATCAAAATGAAAGTAATTGAACGCCTCCTCTGCATCAGGTATGTACTCGGTGCTTTCTATTTCATTTAAGGCTCACAAAACCCATGTGAGGTGGGGTGTGAACACTGACGACCTGAGAGTTAAGCTGCTTCCCCAAGGTCCTCCGGTAAGAAGGGCAAAGGGACTGCAACTAAGAAACGATGCATTCTGTTTGACCTCAAGGCCCGTGCTTTTCCACAGCACCAGGACACGTCTTGCCGTCCGAGTAGCAACAGCGCAAGGAAAGCTGAGGAAAGGGCATTCCAGCCAGAGAGACATACAAAAGCAGAAAGGAATTTAGTAACACCTGACATGTGCTACACACAGTAGGCGGTGTAGTCTCTGCTACTGACTTCCACCTAGAATTGTCCTTTTGCTTTTATAAGGTTTTATTTATTTATTTATTTGACAGAGAGAGAGAGAGAGAGAGAGCACAAGCAGGGGGAGTGGGAGAGGGAGAAGCAGGCTTCCCGCCGAGCAAGGAGCCTGATGCGGGGCTCGATCCCAGGACCCTGGGATCATGCCTGAGCCGAAGGCAGACGCTTAACCGACTGAGCCACCCAGGCGCTGCGAGAATTGTTTTGTTTTGTTTTTTTTGAGAATTGTCTTTTTAAATAATATTTCTGTAAAATGCTTTGGGAAAACATTTCTTTTAAAATGACAACAATAAACAATTTGCTGGGCTCCACTTAACAATTCATCATTATAAGAGAGAAATCATTTACATTTTAATGTGAAACTAGTAGAATAAGCATTTCAGAGTAGACAAAAGCAAATACGTGGGGAGTGACATCAAGAGATGAGTCAAAGGGAGAAACTGCTTTAAATTAAATTATTTTCTCTGTATATATTACATGAATATGTCAATGTAATACAAGGCCCAATAGACAGGTTGGCTTTAGAAGCATTATTTACATTAATGCAAATGCATTTCCACTGATCCCTTTAAACGCAGAGGTACAGGTCTTGGCTCAGATCATCCTGCTGCTAACTAACCCTAGTAACTTACCACACGGACAGCTCATATTATTTATGAAGTACAAGATGCTTTTGTGTAGTTGTTGCTAATAGATTTTCTATTAATGTCCAGTTACCAGTAACTCCCTAAATTTGTGGAACTAGTGCATTTGGAATATCTATGGATTTAACATAGCCCAGAAACCCATTTCATAGATTTGATCAATTCTATTATAGGATTTTAATACAGGACTCCCGCAGATGAAAAGCAGGAAGTTTCAACTAAAGGCAAATAAAAATTCATATTTCATTAAGCTGGACAGAAAACAGAAATGCCTTTCATAAGAATGTTCTGTTTCGAAAGAAACTCCCATGTTAGTATTA